GCCAAAGTTAGAATTTAGAGAGAAAAATATTTGGAGAGTTTTTTGGAGTTTTGCAAGAGTGTGGAACTTCTTTTTTAGAAAAAATAGGGTCATATATATAGAGAATGGAGGTGGCCGGCCCTTAGAGGTTTTTTGTGTGAAAATGGGTGATTCAATTGGTGATTAATGGATTAATTAGCCAATTAATCTCCATTTATATGGAATAATTTGTAGGTTATGAAGTAATTACCTAAGATGAGGATGGATGAGATAATTTGGAATTGGTTACCTTTTTTGGACACTCTTGGCTTGATTAAAGAATGATTATTCACTGCTCGCGCGTAGGACAATCGGTGTGTCTCAGGGATAACTTTATCCTTTTTACAAAAAATCCACGTGTCGCCTTGTGATTATTTTTTGCTCCACCCTAGCCGTTAGCTTTGGTCTTTTGCCTGAGGGTCATGTTGAAATCTATGTTTTTGTATTATGGGTTTTGAAGAGATCAACATGTGTTTGAAATCTGTTGGGATTGAAGGATTTTTTTATTTGTTGGTTGATTTGCGTATGGACTGTGTATTAATTTTTTTTTACGAGTTTTATGTGCAGAGTGCTATGTGTAAACAGCAATGCAAGGATAGGATCCCATTGCTTGCACTCAAACAGTGGTTTATTTCTCGAATCACATTCATTAGTTAGATTATTAATGTGCCTAGATTGTGGTTTTCAATATGACTTTCTAATTTTCCCTTTACAACATTCTCTTTTTGGTTTTTGAAGTGTGTAAGCTTGATTATAGAAAGAAAGAAAAAAATTAATGAAACACAAGAGATGCATCAATTAGAAACATGGCTGCAAGTGTCTTTCCTTAAATTACTGTATTACTTTTGTAGTGTATGCATGCATAACAGAAATCCAAATCATAATACAAGATTTTAGAACTGTGCAAAATCGTGTACCAAAATACTCAAAAATTAGAATTGTGAAACCAAGTCATTGTCACTTAAAAAGTGTACATAATGTTAATGTTATACCGATGCAAGTTATTTTTCACTTATTCTCTAAACCTTTTACATCCCTTCTAAACTTGAAAGCAGGAAGCCAAGTCTCCTGACTGCTCCAAGGAATAGGAGGGTCATCCATAAGCAACCTGGCATGAGGACTTTACTCACATGGTTGGGCTTCTAAACCTCATTATATTTAGTATATTCTTCTTATATACAATGCGTCTATTTGCGGATTTAAACATGGCCTTTTTGAATTTTAAGGGCATGAAAATTGAAACTCGGGTGCTACCCCCAATTTCAAGGCAAATGAGACTGCTTGACACTGGTAACCAAATCGTTTTCTTTGTTGTTTTCCTGAATGGATTATCGATTTCTCACTTTTTCTGAGTGTTTTTACTATCGGTATTTTGCATTTCTGGCCTTCAAGACATAATTGCCCAGTGCATATATTTGTTTTCATAAAGTGCAATGGATAATATGTTTATCTGATTATTTGTGTGCATAAAGTATTTTTTTTTTTTAGAAATATATATGGTTATTGCTTTTCTAGTTTGCAAAGGGGTTTACAATGCAATGTCAAAAAGAATTTTTGGGTATTTAATTTACTGCCAACATATTGGAAGTTGGGTTTATTTTTCTATCAGTTTTATAGTTATTACATCTTATTAGGTATGTTGCTTCTTAGAAGTAATTTGATCACATTATGACTATGTCAGAATTGATCTTGATTGGGAACATTTTGACATCGGTTGAGAGAGGTAGCATTTGTAAATTAGGTAACACCTAATACTTAAATTAATTGGTTCATTTTCATCTTCTCTCTTTTTCGTCTTCATGAACCAATTATTTGTGTGTTATATATTTTTTCTTTAGTGGAATATTAAATTACAACAAGGTTTATAACACAAAAGTCTTTTGGGGACAAATGGTATATTGACTGAAAATATCATTAAGAAGATGAAAAAGTACTTTATTTAAAATTTATAGTTATATGTCACTCAGTACTATTGTTTAGTGGTATTCCTCTTCAATTGAAAGTGAAAGGTCTTAGGTTCGAATCCCATGGATGGCGAATTCAATACCAAATTAGATTGTCTATTGTGTAGCCGAACTCCCCATTTCCTTAGTGTAAAAATATAAATGTACTAAAAAAAAACTTATAGCTATATGTGTGACAGTTGAAGTTTTTGGTATGAATTTCCTTAATTTTTTTTAATTTGGTGTTGTTTAATAAGTAAAGATTCATGACTACTTGGTTGAAGATAATTTATTACAATCCATTGTTTTGTTGGTAAATATTTATCCTTTGCTTGTAAATAATATTGCGCGTATAGTTTTTGTAATGATGTTGAGAATTTTAAATATGTTTTTTTTGTGTCGAAACAGTAAACAGTGCGTTGTACGCAGAAGCAAAACAGCGGACAAGATTTACTCCATATGAGAAGAAGAGTTTAACTTAATTGTGATTACTTTTTTTTCGTTTAGTTTTATTCAAAATTGGTCAGATTCAATATGATTCAATCAATTTTTTTTTTTTGCAGTATGGATAACATAAATCTGTCATTTATTTCTTCTCTTTTCCTTAGTTGGAGCTACCCCACCTAAAAAATTGAAGAGATGATGAATGTTGGTATTCGAAATGAATGTTGGTATGTTTCTTCTTAGAAGCGCTGCAATAATTGTGAAAGAAAAGCAGACGAATTAAGGGCATATTATGTGGAGGGTGAACTGCTTGCCTGAGGTAATTATATATTTTATGTGTGGATGTGACTTATGTGAATATTAACTGAAATGTCAAATGTGTGTGACATGTAATGTGTATATGAATGTGAACTAATTTAATATATGTGAATTGAAATTGAGATTGGCAAATTGCGTAATGAACTGAAATGTACATAGGTGATGTGAATTTAAATTGAAACGCACAACAAAAATTATGCTTAGCATGCTTTTGCAATTGATATATAGATCTTTGTACAGAATTTTCTCATATTGATGGTTCATTGATCTCAAAGTAATTACCATATATTAACTATGTGTTGTGGAGAACTAAACATTGAATCATAAATAGTCAATATATAAGTATTACGTAATCAATAAACAATCAATATATACGAGGACACTATCTTATTATGCTTCTTGAAGAATTTAGTGTCTAATTTGAAAAACTGAGGAAGAATTTTTATTCTTTTGAACAAACCCCATCTACTAAAATGTCAGATTTCTTCAATTGATTGAAGGAAACATATGGTAAATACCCTAAACTTAAGGGCAAATACATTTTTGAATCACTTTGCTTTTCAGGGATGCAATGAAAGATGATGTGAGGACTTGCGATGATGTAATTGCTAGCTATTTTGCTACATGTATAGGGATGAGCAACCATGGATGTGAGATCACATACTTTCGAACTCCGATCAATTTTTGAAAAGTTAATTGGTCAACCAATCTATTGTATTTTGGATAATAAGCAGCTCATAATGTAATGTAGATGGAAAAATATGATTGATATTTGTACCTAGCTACTTTACATTATTTTGGTTGTAGCATACCAAGAACCATGACCCTTTTGTTCAAATGATATGTGTGTCTAAATGCATTTAAGATATTCTACATTTGTTCAAGACATTTATATTTCGAGATCTCCAAATACACTTCGAATCATTTTTAGATTCTAACATGAATGTAAATAAATTTTAATATATTTCAAATGTTTAACATAGTTTTATAACCTGCAGTATTGCACGGATTTAAATACTAGTACGCATCTGAAATCATCAATAAGTAGTAAAAAATTGAAGAGATGATGAATGTTGGTATTCGAAATGAATAGAGTTCATCAAAACCCACCTAACAAATATATATGTCGGATGGTCTGGTTGCTTTCACTTACCCATCAATCCACCTCCAACATTGCTATATATAAATAGCAATGTACTACATGGGATGCTATATGGACCAATCAATTCACATTCAGCATTGCTATGTATACGTGTGTATATAACTATGGGAACGGATCCATGATGTATTTCAATGATTCGAACCGTTTATCTTTTAGATCTTCTCTCAAACATCATGTCTACAAAAAATCACTCAAATTTGAAACCATACGGCCGTTGGATTAAGGGTTTATGGTTTCTTTGTAGAACCATCTTCATCTATTTTTTTCACTACAAATGAATGTCTTAATGGTTTTGGATTTGTCTAATTTTTTGCAATGATGATCTAAAATATAGATAGTTCGGATCATTAAAGTACATTACGGAGTACGTCCTACAAAAATTTGTGTAATGAAATGGTGCTATAGATTCGCCCTCATACATCCATATATGTCTTAGACAATTTTATGATACTAGGACCACATGGCCAGTTGTTAATTCCTTCCTTTCTTTGGTTTGAAAAAGTGTCACATGAATTACCAGACCAAAGGCCACATAAATCAGAAATTAAGGTTGCGTTTGTTTGAGAGAATTGTTTCTAACAAGATCATTTTTAACGACTGTCCAAGTTAAATGTAGAAGATGAAACAGTCATGAAGAAAAATTATTCGCCCTAATTCACAAATTAGCAACAATTGGTGATGCAGCACACGTAGAACTCCATCATACACCTACATATTTTGAAGGGGTTGATCTCAAGTCTTAACATAAATCGGATGATTTGAAGCATAATGTCGAATCTGCTTTGTTACTAAGAAAAAAGTTAAAATTTTATCATAAAATCAATTCACAATATAATAACTTGTAAATAGCGGACTTCTTATAAACACATAAAATGTCGATTCTCTCCGCGTTGAAACTCTCAACAAATTCTTGATGTAGCCCAACCCAAAATCTAACTTACCCCACCGAGATCGTCTACTCAACCCACGACCACAAGGCCAGCATGACCCAACGGCAAGAACGACAATCCCTTCTTAGTCGTAAAGTGAACGCCCCTCACAAAACTGAAAATTCCGTCAATATCCCTGACATTCGTCGTCGGTTAGGTAAAACGACTTTGAGGAGTTGAGTCACTTCCTCACTCCTCCTCCTCCTCTCTCTCTCTCTCTCTCTCTCTCTCTCTCTCTCACCGCCAAAGTCGACGATCTATTTCAAACCCTAATATTTTCATCTTTCTCGCTCAATTCAAAACCCTAAATGCCCTTCCTCAATCTTTCAACTTTCCCTTTACAGAAAATTTCCCGGGAAAGTCCGGAAATTTTCCCGGAAATCCGAGGCTTGCCCATTTTCATGTGGTTCGGGCATTGGCTTCCCGTTTAATTCATTCGTTTCTTTCTTCACAACCCATGCCTCGAATTCTCCAGTTCAATCAAAAGTTCGAGCTTTTCTTCAAACCCTAGTCTTTGAACTTCAATCAGCCATGAATTTGGGTCCAATCTACATAAGCTCCGACGACGAACTGGGGCGGAACGACCTGGATGAGGAGGACAACTTTGATTGGGTATCGGAGCTTTTGGAATCCGTCGACAAGGTAACCGATGACGATGATTCCGATGACGTTGTGGTGATTAGTGAGGTCAACTCCAAGCCTAGGCAAAAGTCTTCGAAACGGACGGTGGCGGATGATGACGATGATTGTGTGGTCTTGGACGGCGACCCGGATAAGCCGGTTTCGGTGGTGGAGGATTCGGGTAGCGGCTCCGACGAGTTGCTTGTGGTTGGGGAAACGGGGCAGGTATAAATTCGACCTGATTTAGGTTTAAGTACGATTTGCATTGTTTGGTTGGTTTAGTTTACCTCAATTGGAAGTTAGAGAAAGATAACTAAATGCTTTGGAAGTTTTTTATTGCTGATTTGAATAGAGGATTTAAAGAAATTTAATTTCAACTGAAGGGTTGCGGTTATCGCATCTTAATAATTTTTCGACTGGTGCCTAACTCTCTTTGGTTGTCATGAAAACGTTGCAAACTGATTAGTTGTGGCATTAAGTTTTGGGTTAGGCTAATGATATTGTTGTCATATGAAAGAGGAACAATCCAAGACTTTTTTTTTCTACTTTTCGCGACTAACTTTCTAGTAAGGGAGAATTAATTGTGGATGCATCGGAATTGATTTACACATATTTCAAATTTTGCCCCGTTGGCTGCGAGCATGAACTTTGGTCTTTCTGGATGATATTGTTTTTCAGATATAGTTATCTTGATATTCTGTTTTATGGTGGAAGTGAAAACCTGTTTCTTGCTTTTTGGTGACCTTGATATTAAAGTTCAATGGGTTTGAAGAAGTTCCCTTTGAATTTTTGGTGTTGTTTGCTTGCTTGGCCACTTCATCTTTCTCATGCTGTTGTTATTTTCTTATGTTAAACTTGTTTCTCGTACTTGGGAGCAGCCTCTCCATAAATGGGGGTAAGGCTAGCCGACATTCACCTCTCCCAGACCCTGCGTAAAGCGGGAGCCTTGTGCACTGGGTACGACCTTAAAAAAAACTTGTTTCTCGTAATACAGGACCGTAGCACCATACATTGTCTAACACCTTAATTTTCATATTAGTTGGAAAATGGACGCACCTTTTGCTTTTCCAGCCTTAATTGACCTTATTTCTTTGGTTGCAGGTAGCATGTAGAGACTACCCTCATCCACGACATCTTTGTGCCAAATTCCCTTTCAAAACTACCCGGCACGAGAACCACTGTGATCGTGTGAGTTGACTCTTACAAGCTGTTGCTTATAGAATTTCCATCAAATACTATTTTATTGCCTGAGTTTGACAATATACCACTATGATGTCTTTTTTTTTTCCTTCTAAAATGCAGTGTCATTGTTATGTCTGTGAGTCGCTGGCACCATGTGTACATTGGAGCACCGGAGGCTCCAACTTTAATCATTGTCATGCCACGGATAAAGAAGAGACATGGAGAATACAGAGAAAAAAATTCAAGACACCGAAAATTGCACCATTACCAGCTTTAAACAATCTGTCACCGACTAAACACAGTCCAGTTCCACCACACAATATTATTCAGTTGGCACCTAACTCTATATCACAGAATCAGCTCTCAAGGCCAGCTACAATTCACCATTGTACCTCAGCTGGTCGTACCATGCCTAGTATCAGAAGCCACCAATCAGAATATCTTTTCCCTAAGAACCAACTCCAACCTTGTTCAGTTTCTAAGCAGTTGCTTGGTGCACGCACTAATGTTGTTGGGAGGAACAGAGGTCAAAGTATTGGTCATTTAGGCCCCATCTCTTCTCATTCGACATTCAAAAGAGTAGGAGCTCTTGGGGTCTCCTTGCCAATGAACCGAACCACATTTGTTTCGTCAAATAACAGTAGTTGTACCACTCCATCAGTATACGGCAGAAGTTCCACTCCCATGGCAACATCAAATGACAGAAACCCCTTGAGGTTGCAGGGTGTTCATTCTAGTGTGCATCAAAGCGCCTCCCAGCTCATGACCACTTCTGTTGGAAATACAGTGCCCTCCCAACCCCAAACTTATAGTCAGGCCATTCCCCAATCAATTTATAGCCAAACATTTCAACAGCAAGGGAATCAAAGTCAAAATGATAGCCAAATTTTTTGTGAGCACGAGATTCCAAGTCCGGATTCCAGTAAAGGTGTATTTCAGTATGGGAATCAGAGTCAGAATTATAGCCAGAAATTTAGTCCGCAAGGTAATTTAGGTGTGAGTGTCACAGATTTGGATTTTACGAATTCTGATTGGGTAAACAATTCCAGTCCAAACATTCAGCAGCCTCCTGTTCAGCAGCCTCCAATTCAGCAACAGCCTCCGCTTCAGCAACCTCAGTTTCAGCAGCCATCTCCTATCCAGCAACAGCCTCCAATTGAAATATCTGAAATTCAAAGCACCGAGCCTGTATATGGGCTAGGTGCTGTCAATGAGCGGTCTAACAAAGTCGCTAATTTCAGTGGTTTGGATGAATTTGAAAGCTGGCTTATGGAAACCCAGTGTGGTCCGGCAGAATCAAATGATCCGATGGCATCTCATCTGAATATCATGTCTCCCGAGCCCAGTCTCATAGACTCGCTCATGTTTGATTTTGAACCCCCCTGGAATGGTCTTGCGCAGGTTTAGTCGACTGTAACTGTTAATCCTTCCCTAAAAGCGGCAAGCTTATGTGCGTAGGTGAAGTGATTCTTACTTGTCTAGTTTTTCAAACGAAAATATCTGTTTTGACACGCGTGTGATTCGGCAAAATAACGTGCTTGTGAGGAGCTTTGGTAGTGTATAGGTGTTTCATGTTTCAACTAGTGTACAAGGTATTCCTAGCTTGGAGATGCGCTGTAGAGGCAGGTTGTTTCCTATGTCTTCTACTCGTTAATTATTATTGATGGGTTTCCAAAGAAATTTGAGAATTACGAGTTTCTTTCTTCTAATAAAAAGTTGTTGCCAGGGTTTGTCATTGTTTTCCGGCATTCAAAATGTTGGAAGCACTTTATGGAGAAGCGCTTGCTCGTGCTTCTTCAGGAGTACGTTGAAGTGTATTTTCTAGAAACATTTGAATATCAATTGTATTTTCAAATAAAGCACTTTTAGTAAAAACGTTTACGAGCGAAGTACATAAAACAACTTTAAACGGGCCATTAGGCCATGCGTAAAGTTGTTCCAACCTCATGGCCAGACCAAGATGGTTCCGAAGAACAAAGCCTACAGAACCACCAGAGACCTTCAAAAGGAGTATTGGTCGATCGGGACAATGCAACCGTCTACCGGCATACAAGTTCCGATCGATTCATCCTACATCGAAGAATTTGTAACGCAATGTGAAGTTCCGATCGATCTACAGGGAGATCTTGCAATATTCTTCCGACATCGAAGAACTTGTAACGCAATGTGCAGAGAAAGACAAGACACATGAAGCGTAGCCCGTTGAAGGAAAGTTTTATCCAAGAATTGAAGGCCTGTTTGGAAAAAAAAAAGCTTAAAACTCAGCCCAGCAAGCCCATCACCAACCATAATTTGCTGCTTCCTGTTGCAGATGAGTCTAGAGACTCTGCTGACGGTAGACTGAAGAACACTGCTTCTCTCTCCTCTCTCTTTCTCTCTAGTTGCAGATAGCAGAAGAACAACAAAACATAGCAAAGAGGCGAATTTGAAGTAAGAAATGGCGCTGCTGATGGAAAAGGGGTCCCAACCCCAAACCGAAAGCGAAAAGGCCGACCTTGACGCCATCGCCGCCCTCAAAGAAAGCGCTGCCATTGAACTCAAGGTTCTCTCTCTCTCTCTCTCTCTCTCTCTCTCTCTCTCTCTCTCTCTCTCTATATATATATATATATATATATGACCATATGGATTTTTTTTCTTCATATTCTGGGTTTGGCAGGAAAAGGGAAACGAGTGTGTGAAAAAGGGTAAAAAGCATTTCGCTGAAGCCATAGATTGCTACACGAGGGCAATCAATCAGCAAGCTTTGAGCGATTCCGACACCTCAATTCTCTTTTCGAATCGAGCCCATGTCAATCTTTTGCTCGGTAACTACAGGCGCGCTCTTACTGATGCCGAGGAAGCAATCAAGCTCTGCCCCACTAATCTCAAGGTGCTCCGTTTTCATTGTTGTTGTTGTTCTGAGCTGGGTTTGTTTGAATTTCTAGTCTTTTTTGTGTAGTTCGAAGCTGGGTTTTGTTTGAAATTTTAGTCTGTTTTGTGGTTTAAGAAATGTGGGTTTTGATTGTTAGGCTTTGTACCGTGCTGCGAAAGCGTCTTTTTCGTTGAATTTGTTGTCTGAATCGACATCACATTGCGAAAACGGGCTTAAACATGACCCGGCTAACGAGGAGCTGAGGAAGCTGTTGAGCAGATTGAGTCGAAGAAAATGGAACATGAGCAGCGTGAGGCTCAAGTCTCCAAGGCTATCGCAGAGGCTAAGGTGTGATTATAATACTTAAGGAGTAATGGGGATGTTGCGATCATGCTTGAACTGTTTGTGATTATTATTGATCTCGTCCTTGTTTGTTTGTTGGAACAATGCAGGACCTTGTTTCCGCGATTGAAGGTCGAGGCATGAAGCTTGGGAAGGCAATGTATCGAGAACTTACCGGATTACGAAAGCCTGTACTAGACAAGAATAACATGCTTCATTGGCCAGTTCTTCTGCTGTATGCAGAGGTTATGTCCAGTGACTTCATTGAGGATTTCTGTGAGACCGACATGTTGTCAGCTCATCTCGACATGATATCCTTCTTTTAAAGTGTTCTATTATATTTTAAAGCTGAATTGTCTGTGAGTTTTCTATGTAGCATGCCATGCTTTTGGATAGATGTACATTTTGTTGTTTCCTGAACCTTCAAACATGTTTTCAGATAGCTGCCCGCCTTTGTCATGGGATCAGGAACACAATTACACTCGTGATGCTATTGAGTTATACTACGAAGTAAGTCATTTTAGTTTATAGTCGCTTTGTTGACATATAGTGCTCGCAAAAGTATACTCTCTTTTTTCACTCAAAGTAAAACGAAGTTGCTTTTTGAAGAGTCTTCTCAATATTTTGTGATATTAAACTTCTCAAGAAGTTTATCTATATTTTGGGTTGCTTATATTGTGTTGGACTACTGAGACTCTGAGAATAATTGGCAGAGTCACTATATCTCAGGAGTCTGACCTTATCAGCTACATGAAGTGATATTAATTATTAAATTTGGCGAAATGGATGTTGTGGCATTGATTGTTGTACTGTTGGGTTAGCATAAACACATTATCTGATTCGAGGATGCTTCTATCCATTTATTTGAGGTAATATTTCATGGACTTTGAGATGCACGTCGCTTATAGGATTGTGATTAGATGTTAGGTTTGGCTAGTTCTCGATAGTTGGGGCATGAGATCACAGTTGGCTTGTAGAAATGGTTTGTTTTACCCTGAGGTTAATTGAAGTAAAGTGTAACTAGTAGAGCCTGCTGGGGATTCCTTTGGATGTTGGTGCATCAAAGAGCAGGAAATGAGGCTTATGAGTGAACTTGTATAAACCTAGTCATCTCCATTTTTTGTTCTTTCGCTGTAGACCTGTTGATTGGATGTCCAAGTAATACTTTTTTATGGGTACATCACCAAGTAATAGGTTTATGTATCTTTGAAGATCCGTTATTTATGATTTCTCCATCCTTGATTTTGACAGGCTGGTTCAGGAGTTTCTCTGTCGAAGACAGAGATCCTTCATTGTCTCCTAGAGGGCACTCCAGCTTCTAATGTGGAAAGCATCAATGGCGAGCAAAAGGATGCCAATGAGAATTCTAATGGTGGCAGCTCAGCAGGTATGGTGCCTTTACCATACTTTTTTAGCCCAGTTATCAGTAGTTCATTGATTATGCACTCTGAGTTTTCAGCTATTAGGCTGGATATGATTTTCCGGTGCACTAGAGTGGCTCATGCCTGTGTTTCTGCGTGTTTGTGGTTTAGGCTATGAAAAGTTATATTGTTGGTGGCCTCTGGTCGTGGACAAATTTTAGCTTCTTCTCTTTAATGATTAATTTACTTTTATCCTCTCTATCCCTGTCTTCGGGTGTTTATCATATGCGTATTTATGCTTCACTTGGCTGCGATGGATATGGTTATCTTGGGTTTGTGGACTGATAACCGTACGTTTTCATGCTCATATGATCTCAAAGACTCAACACAGGATTGGTCCTTTCAGCTTTAAACATTCAATTTGCTGCAGTCACCTGTCTACTCACCAAATACAAATAAACATTATCGACCCCCCTTTCCCCAGTCTTTACATTTTTCGACAAGGTTATCTGAATTTCCTTTATCTGATGCTCCCCAGGAAAAGGTTCCTCTAAATGGGTCAAAGTAAACGAAAAGAGAACACTTCACGACGTTCTGAAAGAACCTAACTTCATCGTTCCAGGGATACCAGGTGCGCCTTTAGCGCAGTCACCTTCAGTTCAGACGCAATATAAGTTTCGTTCCTTTGGTTTTCTTACCAGTCGTTTTATACTCGTGCAGTGTTTTATGTTGTTTCTAAACGCTCCAGCTTCCATAAAGAGTTCAAAGCCGGGAACTGGGCTCCTCCATCTTGAGTAGGCCACGACGTTGCGTCTCATCCGCCTTGAGCCGCCGGTTGGTTGTCTCTTGAAGATGGGTGATGTTTGTTACGAGTCAAAGTTAGTCATTTTTTGGTATTACAAAGAGTCGTGCAACTGACATAGCGTTCCAAATGTTTTGTTATTGGTTAAGGTAGTGCTTGTACCAAAAACATGAAAATTCTAAGGGTTGTTTTATTGACACGTTGCATTTTGTTGATTACACCCCGTGTACTATAAACATCGTATGTGTATTTTTTAAATTAAAATTTATCTTAATACACTCTGCACGCATTCTCACACTACCCTCACGTCTCAAACCCTCCACACTTCACATCAAATTCGCATATTCGTCTTCACAAACTTGTTGCACAGAAGTACAGGACCACGAATCAGTTACGAACCGAAAGTTTCCTCCGGTTTTCTTTTCAATTTTCATGTCAGTAGCCTATATAATTCCACAGCCATTATTTCCGTCCATCTAATTACCCGAATAATATTATGGACTTGGGGTCTTTTTATATGAGAAAGTAGTAAGACTCCCTAATCTTTTTCTCGAAAATGAAGTGATTTTCACACCTTTTTTTAGCCTCACACAACACTCTTTATTTATAATCATTGGATTGAATAAATCAAATAGAATCAACGACCATAATTAAATATGGGCGTGTGTAAGGCCGAAAAGGGTGTGTACCATTTCACTCCTGAAACTTAGGACAACGAAAGGCTTTTCTTTGACGGAAAAGCAATAACTGAAAAAAAGGAAGAAAAAAGCTTCCTTCATAAACTGGCATTTAGGCTTCTCAACCGATAAACGTAAGGCTACGCGACGGATAACAAGATTCAATTATGACAAAACACCAATCAGAATCTTATAATTCTGCAGCAAAACAATTCCGACAATTGCATACGATAGCTAAGCACAAGAACAAGACTTTTTAATATGACAAGTAGCAAACCCGCCAGAAGTTTTATTTATAATCAAAGCAGGCAATGTCAAGGTTATTTTTTCAAATCTTACCACTAAAAGGGATAAGGATAAGGAGAAAGTTCCATCACATGAGACACTTGGAATGAGCCTAAATGGCATTCTTCGTGAATCCGAAGCAAGGGCAGACCGGAGGCATCCCATTTCATGCATCGGTAGAAAGCACACACCGGAGGCATCCCCCTTCGTGCATCAGATCAAATGCTTTGTTGATCTCACCAAGAGTCAAAGTGTGGGTGATGTATTCATCAACTTTGATTTCCTGCAAAAGGCCATGACATAATGTTATACGTTATATAATTTGTTACAAAGGAATTCATATTGTTGAATATTTGTTAAAAATCATTTACCTTCTTCAAGTACTTCTCTACAAGCCATGGCACCTGCGAGCGACTCTTGAAACCACCAAAGGCTGTTCCCTTCCAGACACGACCAGTTACCAACTGAAAAGGACGAGTAGAGATCTCCTGCCCTGATGCCGCAACACCAACAATAACAGATGTCCCCCAGCCCTGCAAAGAGTTTCAGCAACCTCCAGATGCGTTTTATGCACAATTATTCGAGCCAGCGGTCATAAAAGCACTCACCTTGTGGCAGCACTCCAAGGCAGCCCTCATCACGGAGACATTTCCAATGCACTCAAAACTGTAGTCAACACCACCATCAGTGAGATCAACAAGGACTTGTTGGATTGGCTTCTCGTGATCCTTTGGATTCACAAATTCAGTAACTCCAAAGTTCTTTGCTGCAAATAAGAAATTGCAATAGAATGTCAACTTTAAACTGTTAATAAAAACCTTGCTGAATGAATCCAAGATACTGCTAATGAGAAAAGATATTAAAAACACAAGCTTGATAGGCATTGTTCTGTCTTATATGACAAGTTAAATAACATAAGAAAAAGAATCAAAGGTGCAGGAATAAAAGTACAATACTACCAAAAGGATAATTTCAGGTGCTTCAAGATTATGCGAGGATCGCGAATGTGACCTACTGACTACCATTATGCACAGGAACTAGTTTCCTAATATTCTTCCTTCCTTATTCCCCTAAGGGGTAGAAGTCAACTTTTCCTCTCGCTCACTAGGTGATACCAGCTTTGTCCCCAAGCTTGTAGAACCAGACCTCTTCCATACTTTCGAAAACAGTAAATTACAAGACACTATATAGTATAGTAAGGTTTTAATATGGAGAACTTAATATGTACCTGTATCAAACTTTTTGCTGTCAATATCAATGCCAATGATTCGCGATGCACCAGCTGTTTTGGCACCTTCTGCAACCTGTCAAGTTATGACAATTACTTCATTACAGTTTAGAACTCAGCACAAGATTATTAACTTAAGGTTCGATTACAAACGTACAGCAAGACCAACAGTCCCAAGGCCAAAAATAGCAACAGTTGATCTCGCTTCCACCTTTTGCCGTGTTCCAAACAGCTCCAAGACCTAGTATGTGTCACACACAGGGACATACATGATTAATCAAGATAGAAGCATAAGATAAGTCGTACATCATATGCAACAACCATAGAGAAGAAGACAATCATTACAATCTTCTTTCTTTTTCCCCATAAAAAGGACGAAGCCAATTACTAAGACTGCGGTGATGAAAATTCCATGCTCTAATCTATCAATATAACCAGTTATAGAATTTAATATTACAAATTATTATGATTAAGGTGTATGCTTTAACAAAAGTTGACACATTCACCAGGCCTAGCTTAAAAAAGTACTATTATCCTTACCAGTAGGAACACCACAACCAAGAAGGCATACTTTCTCCAATGGAGCTTTTGGATCTATCTTTGCAACACTAACATCATGAACAACTGTGTACTGGCTAAATGTTGATGTTCCCATAAAATGATAGATAGGTTTTCCGTTTACAGAGAAACGGCTCTTGCGATCACTCATCATGACTCCAACTCCAGTGGCAGCACGTACTTTTCCACAGAGATTTGTCTTCCCTGATTTGCAAAACTTGCATTCTCCGCATTCTGCCTGGTAACAAGGGATGACATGGTCTCCTGGCTGAACTTCAGTAACACCTTCACCAACGCTCTCAACAATCCTGCACCAAGATGAAGTGGACCTCCTTTCAGCACCAAAGACACAATAAACCGTTGATCCACGACACTACGTGTATAAGTAACATACCCTGCAGCCTCGTGACCAAGAATACAAGGGAAGAGACCTTCAGGATCCTGCAAGGAAAATTAAGTGAACATATGTACATTGCCCTCTAAATAAAATTGATCCTCAACCAGACTACTTTTCATCTTCAAATAAGAATCAAATGCCCCCGTCATATTTCTTTAAAATGAACAAACAGAACTATGAACTAGAGTGCTGCAATTTGAAATTTTTTGACTTGACGACACTACTATTAAGAATTCAAGCTCCTTCCGAACCATCCCAAGAAACCTACTAAGTTTTCATAACTATTTATGAAATCAGTTCAGTTCTATTATACCCTATTTATCGGTCAGATTTGATTTCCAGACATTATTCAGAACGCCTCTATTACGCAATATCTCTATACAACATTAGGTAATGGAAATTTTCATATTTTGATGAGACGTCTGAAGGCCTGTGGATCCAAGCTTCAAAACCAAAACAGCAACAAAAATTCAATAAATAACCACCCCATTTGCACTACATTCACAACAGTCGCCGCCGGCTAAGCCACCGAGTACTAGACAAACGTAAACAATGCATTATCATCTCAACCAAACAAAGATCACAACTTATTCTAACAATCCAAGCAAGTGCAAATTTTATGGAACCGACTCGGAGGAGAAATGGAAAAGCTTTTACCTTGCCGCCCCAGGTATAAGCGTCGGTGTGGCAGAGAGCGGTGTACAGAATCTTGACCCGGACCTCTCCAGCCTGCGGCGGAGCCACCTGCACGTCTTCGATCACCAACGGCTTGTTGGGTTCCCAGGCCACCGCCGCTTCGCATTCCCAATTTCAATTTCACCCACACAACATATTCTCAATCACAACCAACCATATCATTGTATATATATATATACAGAAAGATATATATATATACACACACATATATTATACATATATATATATATGGAGAGAGAGAGAGAACCTTTGCAGGTGATGACTTGACCTTGGGTAGCCATGGATTTGACTGAAACCACAAAGCGAAACGGGGAGAGAGAGAGAGAGAGAGAGAATGTGGGGATCGGAATATGTGAACAATTGATTGTTGTGAGAGTGGACAGAACGTGCTCTTGTGAACTACACTGACCCGGGTCTGTACTGTTTTTTTGGGGCCTCTACAACCGTTTGGATTGCATGAAAAACTAGGGTACTGCTTGTGTGGACTTGATGAAACCTCGAGGTCTTTGGGCTCTTTGATACTGGCTTGGGTCCAAGAGAGTTTCCTTTCAATTGACCCAACCCATGATTAAGAGAGAGAGAGAAAGAGAAACAAGGAGGGTTCTACTTTTAGGGGTCGTTCGGTGGTTGAGACTGGACAAGATTGGAAATGAGTCTGAGCGTTTTGAACAAGACTTGAAAGACACAATTTATTAGACTGTTATCTAGTTTATAAAGTACGGTTAAGCTCATCAAATTATGGTGAGGACAATAGTTTAATTTTGTTAGAATAGTTCAGTCTAAGTTGAGCCACCAAATGAGCCCTAAGCGTGTTGTATTAGTGCATTGTAAAATTCCTCTTACCCTAACACAAGATGATACTGTCATGTTCTAGACCGGAGATTTGAGGAAAATTAACTCTATATTTGGTGCGCAAATTAAAAAAAAAAAGAAAAAAAGAAAAAAAATATGTCTCTTAATTTACTTCATAATTTTCACAACACAGTCACGCTCTAATTTACATAATAAAAGTTTTAATAGGTAACTATGAAAGTCAACTACTTTTTTAGGTCTTTAGTTCAATACCTGTCAAATACTCATAAGGGGTGAGCTTCTAGCTTAGTAGGACAAAAATCACAATGCTTGAATGTAATGAATCATCTCTTTTAAGAAAGTGATTTTTTTTTTTTTAGAAAGAAATGTACATTGTTGGAACTAAATTCACACACTGTCGTACTAGGTGGAGATACACAAATCCGAGTAATTTGTAAAAGAATAAACAATTGTGAGTTAGCCAACAAATGGGGGAGGGGGTGCCGATCAAATGCTCGAGGATGATACCTTTTAGGATAGGCCAATCTAGATTAAACCAGGAGAATCTCATGACTACAAGAAAAAGGCCCTTTAACGACACCTTATTTGCGACAGAGCACACAACCATCGCAAATTCTCAATAATATAGCGCGCATGGTGTTTGGGATGAAACTTTTGCGACTCTAGTTTAAGTAACGTCGCAAATGATGTATTTGATACGACGCCCTTCCAAACAATTTCATTTAGCGCCTGATTTTCATTTAACGCGCCCCATCTTTAAAAGAAAGATATTTCGCCGTTTTTAATCTTTCGGTAAAGTTAATGGCTGCTTCTCAGATCTACAATCAAGTTGCCCCAAATCAAATCCCCTCTCTCTCTCCGATTCACAGTCAAGCGCCGATTTCCAGCGAAGCTATGCTCTGATCACTTGCCGTATGCTCTCTCTCTCTCTCTCTCTCTGTTTGTTTCCTGAGAAAAGTTTTGATGAATGAAAAATACGATTCCGTTTCTTGCGTTTTCTCACTAACCAAACATAAATATCGCTCAGTGTTCATAATTACGGAATGGTCTTTGACTTCTCTTTGTAAATGAAGTTTTGATTTCTCTTTTTGATTTCTCTTTATGGTGCCAGTGCGTCATACAGTGTGAAGGAGTTTTTGGAAGATGGGGTTTATATGTACCCACTGATGTGAAGGTGAAGCAGATGAAGAGGCCAAAGTCGGACTGCATGACGGTGCATAAGGAGTTTAGCATGCAAGGATAGGGATTCGGTGGTGATTGCTTATGAGGTTAAGGATAAACCCTCGGTGTTGAAGGCGGAGGATTAGGACTGGGTTGTGGTGGTTTTCGTCTTGTTGAGATTTTCAATAAGAGTAAGTGGAAACTTTCAGTTCTAAGGTTTTAATTGCATTAAGAAATTGTTATCTTGGTCATTGAGATTGTAGCTTTCTGAATTTGTTTTATGTGACTTTTGAAAGCGCATTCTAGCTGTTATGGATTTTGTTGTTTGTGTATGTTGTCTTGTGATGCACTTATGGGGGTTTTCATGCGATTCAAAGATGATAGTGTGGAGTCAGAGCAAAGATTGTGAACCCGTGGAATGTGAAGATCATCTCGGTTGGTTGGTAAAATTTATTTGATTTAATGTGTTACCAATAAAAAACTAAGTTATGCTTGTAGGAAAAATCAAATTAATTGTCTTAATTTCTTGCTGCAATGGAAAAAAAAAATGGTTCCCTTTCATTTATGCTTGTAGGAAAATCAGAATGATTGCTTTCAAGGTCAATGGTTTGTTAGACCCCTGGAACCATTATGCACACAAGTAGTTAATAGTTACCCCTTCCTTTGTGCTTTAATTATCTTGATTTGTATCGCTACAATGAAATATGATTGCTATTATTTACCTGTAAGAATTTCACTGCATCGAATACGTATATTTACCAAAATAAAAAGTACATGGGAGGGGGGATTGCTCATGAATTTCTAAGATTGGTCCTGATTGTATAATGGCTTGCTCAAATTGGTTGCCTATGTTGTGAAGCCTACATACCAAATAATTTTCACACACCTTATCATTATTTAAGATTTGCATAGAAAAAGGAGGACACACTTGTTATTGCAAAGGGAAACTCTTTTTTGTTAATAGCTTGTGTTATATGAAAGTGTTCTCTCATGATTTTGCGCTTATCCTGTGTTTCTGACTGCAGATTCCTTGTCCGCAGTGATATGCCTCTCAGAGTGCTTCCCAAGTTTATTGGGGTTCAACTTGTTAACTTTCATATTCAATTGTATTTCAAGAACACTACACCTCTCATTGATAAGCAGAGCTGCAGTTTTTTCTTTTTGTTTCCCAAATTATTTGCCTACCTTGTGTTTGTAAGAACTTCAATTCTAGCACTGTTGCAGAGGCTTTGATGTCTGAATTTGATGCGGAGAATAAGGGTGACAATGGAGATCTTCACACAGCCTACACTGGCAAAGGGAAAGGAGACGACTCTGAATCATTAATGTGTTACCAGTAAGAGTTCCATTGAATTAGATACTTTTAATTCCCAGTCAATTGGCGGACATACCTCTGTTTTAATTTGAGCCTCTATGAAGAGTACTAAGAGTAGAGCTGCTGCAAGGAGTGACATAATTACTCGCAGGATCAAGGGGAGGAAGTTAGTTGTCGAACTAACAAACCAATCTGGAGTGACAATTCCTGTAGGATTATAGATGGTATAACCGTATAAATGTTTAGGATAATGTATATATGTTTAAATACTAGAAGTGAAATACATTCTTCATTCTCATCAAAGAAACCAAATAAATATTTTTGGATTTGTGAATTATGAATAGTATCAGTGAGGTTGGATTGTTATTTTAGTTTGGAACCTATAGTAAATTTCAAATGAAATAATTTTGGTGAAGCTATTAAAAATAATGTTGTTGTGGCGTCTCATTTGATGCACACTTTTTTTTTTTTTTTTTTTTTTTTTAACCTGAGACCACTTATTTGCGACGCGTAATCTACTGTCGCAAACCCGTAGTAAATAGTATTTGCGATGCACTAAAAGCGTCGCATATAATCGACCAAACATTTACGACACCACTTTGTTGCGACGCGTTACTAACCGTCGCAAGGCCGTCGTTAAAGGGCTATTGCGACGCATTTGGCTACTTTTGCGACGCATTTTAAGCGTCCCATAAGACCCATTTTTTTGTAGTACAGAGGATATCTAAAAAGTAAATATTGCATTTTCTTAGGAGTGAGATTACTTGTGCGCACGTCAATCCTTAGATAAGGACTCTACGATTCTAGGAAACATGTTGATTGCTTACTGAATTAGGTTTCAGTATCTTGCAAAACAAGCATGGTGATGACTTCGCCCACTAATTCTTGAACAAGATGATGGTGGCATTGCTGCTCCATTTATTCAGCTCTGCAAAAGAGGTTGTTGAGTCCATGACCATACTTCTAAGGTATTCGGATTCGATCCACCATGCTCTGGCCGCAGAAAATAATAGTCCTACATACACTGTATGTGTTTGATGAGTTTTATTAGCATTGAGTTGTAACTAATAAGATATTAAAGTAAATGGTTGTATGAGAAGATCACGCCTTATTGTACACACCAATAAGTAGCTAGCAAGTAATCATGATAAGAAATATATTTTATGTTATTTTGTTAAAAGATAATGATAAGTTAATTGGGTGGACAAAGTTGTACATAAGATTCTCCTTCTAAAACCGTCCAATAAATTTCACATGTAAACTTACTTGCACACAAAAGAAAAGAGTTGCTTGCATGGGTTGATCCTCTACCCTATTTAAACATATGGAAAATGAAATTTAATTTGGTGACTATGACATGATGCATGTGATAAGTCAATGGTAAATAGTAATGAGGGAGGGAGGAAATAAAGGGTACGCCAATATCTTGCTCCTTTTTTTATAGTAGAAACTGTAAACAAGAAATTTTCTTGAAACAAGCAAGACAAGAACACGTGCACAAAATAATATTTGTATTTGATGATTTTGGGTTACAATCTCTCTCAAATTTGATCATTTGATTCGATCTCCGTAAAGTGTTGATTTGTGGATGTGCGATTGATCCAAAGGGCCGTTGGGCTTGATCTTAGGATGAACGTTCTTTAAGGGCCGTGGGCTTGATCTTTGAAGGTGGATTTGAACGGATCTTCAAGGAGCCGTTGGGGCTTGATCTTGAGGATGAGTGTTTCTTTAAGGGCCGTTGAGGCTTGATCTTGAATAATGGTGATGAACGGATCTTCAAAGGCTTTTGGGCTTGATCTTGAAGAACAGTGATAAACGGATCTTCAAGGGCTTTTGGGCTTGATCTTGAAGAAAGGTTGGATGTATGGATTTGTCGACGTTGTTGATCCAAAGGGCCGTTGGGGCTTGATCTTAGGATGAACGGATGATGAACGATGAACACTTTCTTCAAGGGTCGTCGGGGCTTGATCTTGAATTGGTGGAAGTTCTTCAAGGGCATTTGGGGCTTGATCTTGAATTGGTGGAAGTTCTTCAAAGGGGTCGTCGGGGCTTGATCTTGAAGGTGGATGATTGTTGATCCAAGGGCCGTCGGGGCTTGATCTTGGAAGAACGATGAACGAAGAACGAAGAAGGCTTTCTTGATTCTTCGGGAACCCGGATGCTTGAAAGCTTCGGAGTTTCAGAGCTTCAGAGCTTCAAGGTGTAATATCTATTGGTTAAATGAAATGAATGAAATTGGCTTCTATTTATAGAATTTTCCAAGGCCTAATTTTGAATATAATATTCCAGATGAAATAAGTCGTTTCTGCCAAGTGTTGACACGTGTCTTGTTTGATGACTTTTTTGACTCATTTCAATTTTTCGTCGAGTCACACGCTACGTGTAAAATTTATGTAATACATGAGCGTTGAAACTTTGATTTATCGGTCAACATTTATTTACCAAAATTTCGATGTCTACAAATGCCCCCACTTCAAGGCGCATCGTATACATGTGCTTGTCGCATGTAGGAGATGCGTTTTGAAGTCCCTTAATGTAGATGTCGATCCAAAGGCCGTCGAGGCTTAATCTTGAATTGGGTTGGAGATTTCTTCAAGGGTCGTTGATGTTTGATCTTGAATTGGGCTTGAGATTTCTTCAATGGCCGTTGAGGCTTGATCTTGAATTGGGTTGAAAATTTCTTCAAGGGCCGTCGAGGCTTGATCTTGAATTGGGCTTGAGATTTCTTCAAGGGCCGTTGAGGCTTGATTTTGAAGGTTGAAATTGGACCACAAGAAGCTTCATGTGGTAGATGATCTTTGGCTTTGGTAGTGGGTGAATTGGCACGTATTGTTTTTTGCACTTTGTTGACTTTCCACAGCTTTGATCTTGAACTGGGTTGGAGGATTTTCTGGATTCCTCCAATTGTTGACTTTCCTTAGCTTATTCTTGAACTGGATTTGATTTAAGGGTAGTGGACGCTTAATCTTGAATCGGACTTGTGATTTCCTCAAGGGCCATCGATGCTTGATCTTGAATTTGGCTGGAAGCTTCTTCAAGGGTCGTTGATGCTTGATTCTTGAAGGTTGACTCGAACACATGGCAAGCAGGCACGAGGTGAAGGTGACGACTTGTAGCTTTGTTCAATCTTTCTAATTCACACCTGAGCAGTTTGGTCAACGGTATGATATTCAAGATTGATGAGCTCTTCTTCCAGTTGGTGGCTTGATCTTTAAGGATTTGATTCAAGGGTAATGAATCGGCACGTGCAGCCCACAACGCCTAGCGAGTCAACCCAAGAATTTGAGAGTCAAAACGAGTCTTCCACCCAGAATGATTATAACCCTGATGATATGAGATACTTTTGATTTTGAAGAAGTAGCGGATGAATTGGCACATGCTTTGTTGTGCTTGTCTCCACATGCTTCAATGTATCATTTTCCCTTGCCTTATCTATTCTTCTGGCAGAATGTGGCATCTTCTCGAGTTCCTCAGCTCAGACTCCTTCTGCTGAGTTGACTGTGCAAGCTGCATTCTTCTCTGCTTGTTTCTTTTGCACGTTGTCTCCACATGCTACAAGGTATCATTTTCACTTGCCTTATCTGTTCTCCAGGCAGATGTGGCAGCTTCTTTGGAAGTACAGCATCAATGGAAGACGAGTACTCGAAAGCAGTGCTAGGTAGGCAATCAGGGAAGGGTTTCAAGCAGTCGATTCTTTACTCGAGTTTGAGTGGAGGTTCCGGCATATTGCTTTCTTTATCTTTGTCTTTGCAGGTAAGAACAAGGACAAAGGAAAAGACAGGGAGAACGCATGATATGAGATACTCTTGCTTTCTACCCTGGTGATATGAGATACTTTTGCTTTGGTGTCATTTGTTTGCAGAGGTACCCTAAGGAATAAGGAACACTGAGTGACTCGAGAGGCTTCGTTGGGAAGGCATTCTCGGAGATGAAGAAAGGTTCTGTATGTCTGCCTTGCTATGGAGGGTGAAGGTGGACAGTTATAGGAAGTTCTTTAATACCTGTAAAGGTACTATTCTTTCACTCGTGTCGGCAACCATTGAGTGATTGATCAGTATGGCTTCACGTGCTTTCTTTTTCATCAGAAATCTTCGACAAATTGTCCGTAATTTCTGCCAAGCTGAGTGTGCATGTGACAGGTGTTGACGAGGCTAAAAAAGGTTGGCGCCTCTTCGATATCTGGGATCGGCGCTTTGACAAATTGCCCGTGATTTCCGCAAAGCTGAGTTTGCGTGTGACGGGTGCTGATGCGTTTGGAAAAGCAAGTTCCTCTCCGATTTTTGAATTGGCCTCTTCGAATTCTGAGCTCGCCTCTTCGATCTCTGAAATCCCGTCGAGTGTTGATTTTTATAGAGACATGCAGTTCGTTTCAAAGCACATTTGAATTTTTTGCTTGTAGAAACTCTTTTCTTGCACTTCTAAGATCTTGATTTGTCCGACCTCTTATTTCTTCAACACCTTTGAAAATATCTGGACCCTCTGACCGTCGTTTTGACTTGAACCTTGGTGAAGAGGCAGTCCCGCCTTCTCCAGACAACATATGGCGCTCATCCTTCATATCCCCTACTGGTCCTCTTACCGTTGGGGATTCGGTGATGAAGAATGATATGACCGCTGCAGTGGTGGCCCGAAACCTTGTCACTCCCAAAGATAACAGACTGCTTTCCAAACGGTCTGATGAGTTGGCTATTAATGATTCTCTGGCTCTCAGTGTGCAGTGTGCAAGTTCTGTGTCTAATATGGACCAACGTTTATTTGCTCGAACCCGTCAAGTTGAATCATTGGCCGCTGAAGTGATGAGTCTCAAACAGGAGAGAGGGCTCAAGCATGAGAATAAACAGTTGCATAGACTCGCACATAACTATGCTACAAACATGAAGATGAAGATTGACCAGATGCAGGAATCTGATGGTCAGATTTTACTTGATCATCAGAGGTTTGTGGGTTTGTTCCAAAAACAGTTGCCTTCGTCTTTTGGGACTGTACCGCGTAATGAAACTCCGAATGATCAACCTCCAGCTCCTCTTCTTCCTGGAGTTCCGCCGAGTGATGAGGTGCCACGTGATCAACCTTTGTGAAAGCTCTCTATTGTTTGCTGCTTGCACATTTGTAAATTTTTTTTGTTTGCATGTAGAATGCATTTTTATGTAATCTTTCCAGAGAAATAAATAAAATGGATTTTATTTCTCTCAATGCAATTTTTTTTTTTTTACTCATGTAAAAAATGTTCATTTATGTAAAATTTTGTTAGAGAAATAAATAAAATGGGCTTTATTTCTCTCAATGCAATTATTATATTTTTTTTATACATATTACATTATATATATGCACACACCGCACCATCATGACCCTTTTTTTTATTTTTA